ATTTGCATAGGATTTATATTGTATTGATTATTATAATCATCACGAAATGATATAAAGTATATAGGAGGATTTGTAAGTTTTATGTGAGTGTTATGTAATTTTAAATAAAAGACTTAAGCATCTTCAGATTTTGGTCTTCATGAAGGATCCTGGAACCAATGCCCTGTGGATACTTAGGAATATACTCTGTTGTGTATAGACACCGTATTTTCTTTACCCATTCATCTTTTGATGGGCATATAGGCTACTCTGTTCCCATTCTTAAAATGATGCTTTTTCTTTTTCTTTTTTTCAATGTGATCTGTAGGATTTCATTCACTGGAAGCTGTTCTTTTTCACATCTCCCTGTTTCTGTCTCTGTCCTTTCTCTCACTTAGCTGTGTGGCTTCAGGAATGTTACCTTTTCAATGCTTTTGCCTCTTATGTGGAAATGAAAGAAAAAAGAAAAAAAGCAAGAGAATGTGGAGGTTCATCTGTGGAGGCTGTTACAAATACCACATTGCTTAAATTAAATATTAAATTTAAGTTGTGTATTAGTCCAGTTTGTTGGTGATATGCCATACCACAGAGTAGGTAAATTATAAAGACAGGACATTTATTTTTGCTTACAGGTCTGGCTCGTGGTTGAGGAGCTGCAACTAGTGTTGTCTTCTTGCTGGCAGAGTCCTAATGTGGCTCAGGGCATCACATAGTGAACGATAGGGTGTGTGCATGTGTATGTCCTGCTCACCCTCCTCCCTTTTCCTGAAAAGCCACCAGGATTCCATCATGGGGCCTCACTTTGCTGACCTTATCTAATTCTAATCTTACCCATAGTGGCTTAAATTTCTACCCTCTTAATACTTCAAAATGGGGATTAAATTCCAACATGGATTTCAGAGGGGACAAGCCATAGCAAATTGTACAGTTATGATTTTAAAATTATAATGTATCTAGGTATAGACAATTATACCCAAAACCTAGAAGGTTCTAGTTTTCCATGCCCTTACCAATAAGCACAGGTACTATTTACTGATGGAGTTAAAGAAGGCTTATGATGAAATCCTTTAAAAATTAAAATGCAACTTCCTCTAGCAAGACAGTAAATACCAGTTTGTTATTTTCTAGCAATTATGTTTTGCCTTGTGGTTTGTGATGCTCTGATTTTGTTTATTTCTGCTGAGCAGAATTTCTTTCTTTCTCCCAGCCTTGACAGTTCAAACTAAAGAAAGCTTTTGGATTTATGTTTACCATTCTGTGGATGGCACATATTTGTGGAATTTCTGGCTCTCTTTGACTTTCTGGGACACAAAATTCTTTTAAATGACTGTCTTATTGATTTGGCTGCTTGCTATTTGTGCCCAGAGAATGTGTGTACAGTATTTTTAAGGGAGGCATGTCCAAAATTGAATGAAGAGACAAGTAGGAGTGTAGTGATTTTCCTCTGTGTCAGGAAGCTGAGGCTGGGACCAGGGATCAACCTCTTTATTGAGGACTGTGTTAAGGTCATGCTGCACTTGGGGTGCTACTGATTTACTGAAGGCAGGTTTGAAAGAAGACAGAAGGAGGGAAAGAATGTGAAGTTCAGAGGATGTGGACCACAAGTGAGATGTGAAAAGAACAGAAAAGCAGTGGGAGGGAGGAAAGCCCATTCGTTTGTGTACAAGTGTGTATTTTCCCCATAATCGCAAGGATATGGCAAAGGGAATGTGAAGATCTAGACCAGGGTGTCAGTGTGTCTTAGAGTGAAGGGGAGAAGGGACAAATAAGTTTTTCAAAAGCCTGACCTCCCTTCCAGCTTATTGGAAAAGATCTCATTCAGGTATTTAAAAATACCTACTTGTTGGAATAGGAGGAGGCCGAGAAGGAGAAGGGCTCTGGAGTATCTGTAAGATGCTTGGGCTGGGTCCTTGGGTGTTTCATTATACAGATGTCTGCCTTTATTCATGAAGAATGTATTCCAAGATCCCAATAGAGGCCTGGGACTGTGGATAGTACCAAATGCTAGGTCTGTTGTTTTCTATATATACTTACCTATTATAAAGTTTATCTTATAAATTAGGTACAGGAGCAGATTAACAATGACTACTAATCATTTGGAATGATTATAACAAAATACTGTAATAAAATTTAGGTATTGTACTGTACTCATCTTTCTTGTGGTGATTTGAGAAGATCCAGTGCCCACGCAATGAAATGAAATAAGGTGAATTATGTAGACCCTGTGGTAAAGCACTGGGGACTACATAAGAGTTGCTAGAACACAAGCAGTGTCATACTGCGAGAGTTGATTTTATAACCTAGACAGCTGCTAGTGACTAAAGGGAGGACAGTGTCTACAGTGTGGATGATTCATGTTCCCAACAGAATGGAATGCATTGGCACATGATTTCATCACATTATTCAGAATGGCACATGACTTAAAATTTATAAATTATTTATTTCTGGAATTTTCTATTTAATGTTTTTAGACCACAGTTGACCTCTGGTAGCAGAAGCCACAGAAAGCAAAACCATTGAAGAGGGGAGACTATTACAGTATTTTGCTTTATAACATATATAATGCATATATATATATTTTAATATATAAAATGACATTAAACAATAATGAAGAAAAAATGTGATATTGCCACAGAATCTATTTCAGTTGAAACATAACAACAAACTTAGTTAGCTTTCCATCATTGTGACAGAATATCTGATGGAAATAACTTTTTTTTTTTTAACAGAGAAAAGCTGCTCACCTCTTGGTGGCTGAGAAGCAGAAACAAAGGGAGAAAAAGGCCAGCGACAAATATACCCTTCAAAGTCCCCTCCCAGTGACCTACTTCCTCCATCTAGACCCCACCTCCTAAAGTTTCCACCACTTTTCAGTAGTCCCACTTGGGGACCAAACGTTGGACACACACCTTTGGGGGACACCTGTTCAAACTGTAACAGTACTCTCAGGGGTGTGTGTGTGTGTGCACTTTTAATAAATTAGAAAGAAAGTGTGGAAGGATGTTAATTTGACTCCACATTGGGGTATCTGAGGGTGGGGAAGATCCTTGTCACTGTTAAACTCTCCCAATTCCAGTACCTAGTACAATACATTCATGGTAGTGGATAAAACAACACTGACCTTGGATTTAACAGTTTAGCGGTAACTATATATTTACTTTAACAGAAAAGTAAATCTGTATGCTGTTAGATTTTAAGGTCTATGAAGCCATATATAACATTGATCTTCCTCACCATTCAGTCATTTAAATATTCATTCGTGCTACAGACATATATCAAGTGCCTAATATGCAAGACAGATGTTGGATGATAGTAATTTTTTGTGTCTAATACATCTGAGCCTTTTAAAATTCTATAAAATAAAAAATAGGATATAATGACATTCAGACAGAATGTATTCTAGTGGCTCAGGGAGTCTTCCCTGGAGGAAGTGAAAATTGTACTACAAACGGAAGAATGCAGCAAAGGTGTTTGGGGAAAGTTGGGGAGGATTCCACATGCCATGTGGATAGATGAGTATGTGGAAAGGCCCTGAAGTAGGGAGTTAGGTGTATGGTCATGTGAGGAGAGAGGGCAGAAGGTGAGGGGTGGAGTTGGGGCTGAAGAGGTGTGCAGGAGCTGCACCACGGAGATTGTGAAGATCAGAAGAAAGTGCTTCCCCCATTGTTCTATTTTGAAAAATTTCAAGCCTATAGAAAAATTACCCTAATAATAAGGTCAGGTATCCAGCTTTTTAATTGGTTAGCATTTTGCCAGTTTTATTCTCTATTCTCCCTCTCTTCTTTGTCTTTCTGTCTCTGTCTCCCCCACCCATCATGTACCCACACACAGAGAGTTTTCTTTGCTAAATCACTTAAGATCAGAGTATAGAAATCATGTTAGGCTATTGTAAATTCTAAAGCATGTGTTTTCCAAGATCAAAGATAACCTGATATATTGTAGTACTATACACATACAAGAGAGTAACATTGGTAACATACCCTTACCTGATATGCAGTCCATATCGTATCTTTATTATCCCAATAATGTCTTTTGTTGTTTTTTTTTTAATCCAGCGTCCATTGGCATTCTGGGAGCAAATTAGGCCAGTGATTTTATAGAACATCCCTCAGTTTAAATTTGTCTAATTGTTTCCTCATGATTAAATTCAGGCTGATCATTTATGGCAAGAATACTACCAAGTAAATGATGTGAGCCATGGAGGACTGCCTGGCCACAGGGGCACACAATATCAGTTTCCATTATGTTAACTTTGATCATTTAGTTGAGATGCTGTCTACCAGATTTCTGCATTATAAAAATAATATTTTCCTTTTGTTGGAAATAAAGTAATTTGAGGGGTGATACTTTCAGATTCTGTTAATATCCTATTCCACAATGCTTTTTCATGCCATATTTCTACTGTCTATTGGTGTCTCTTGCCCAAGATAATTATTATTCTGGTGACTACAATATAGTGATTTTTCAAATTCTATAATTTTTCTACATTAATGGATATTCTTCTCTGAAGATGAACCTTGCCTTCTCCATCTTTTAAAATCAGGATCATTATGGACTTTTGGACTTCTAAAATTTAAAGTGATGATAACTTGCATTTATAATTCATTTCTAACATCCATCATTTTCATGTTTCAGTTTTTCCATATTTGGCCAGCAGGAGCCCCTATATGAAAGGTTTTTGAAAAAAAATATTGAGTGGATGAAATAGTATGGAATTGAGGAACACATTTTGTATGTTCACTGTGCCTTTTTCTCCTGAGCATCTATTTGTCAATCTAACATGAATGTATTCCTGTTTCTCTCTAGGTCTCATGGATTAATTGGCTCTCATTCAGCAGCAACCTAACAGATAAATCCTTCTGCTGTGTATCAAGACAATGCTTGTGAAAATGATTAAAGCTGTGTTGCCATGTGACATTGTCAGAGGAGGACAAGCAGCTTGAGAATTTCTTGTTAGTTATATTGCAACTTGAAGGAAGCCCCTTTCCATTAAGTAAGACTCCCCCACTGAAGGATTGACAATGAGCATCCCCGTGGCTCCTAAGAAATCATGTTTCAGTCAGTTGCAGGACAACAGAAATGGATCAAAAAATAATAATGAGAGCATTCTAAGTCTGGGAGATACAAATGCCAATCAGATCATGTTGGAGGTCAGCTCTTCTCAGGATGAGTCTAAGACATGTGACCTGACTGATCAAATTGGAAATGCAAATTCAAGTGGGCTGGAACACCATGTCCACTTCCATAAGGAGCCTCACCAACTTCAGGGATTTAGGAGAGGGTCTCAGTCTGCCTCCACAAGCTTGAAAGATTTAAAACTTTCTCCTACTTTCCCTAGGGGGCTACAGGAAGATTGTACCATGGAGAGAGGCACTGATATCTCACAGACTCCTTGGAGTGCCCAGGGGCCAACCCTGTCAAGTTGGATGAATATGACGGGTGAGGCCAGTTCAGAGGTTTTGGCTAAAAAAGACGTTGAAGTTCCCCGGCATGTTCCAAAGGACAAATTGGCCAAGACCCTTGACAATGAAGAGTTGAGAAGGCATTCTTTGGAAAGTGCAAGCAGCTCTGCAGCTGTGGCTGGGAGCTTGCCTCCACAGCATCTGCAGCTTGCAAGGCCTAATGCCCTTGAGCCATGGGGTCCTGTGCCCAGGGATGGGGAGGAGCTGCAGAGGACGCTGGCTGACTACTCTTTGGGGACAGCTTTTCCTTCAGCTGACAATACCTCAGAGAGAAAGAGTGTGCATCCTCCTAAACCATCTACCTCAGAAGCCAGGAAGACCACCCCCTCAGAGGCCCAGATGGAGGGGGCACATACACTGAATGTTTGCAATGAGCACAAGTCACATCCTGCCCATTCTGAGCCTGCTCTGAATTCAACTTTGGTGTCAAAGGAAATCCTGAGTTATACTGAAGCACAATTAGGTCAGAGAAAGGGAGAGCCAAAGCTGGAACTGAAATATGTTCAACTCAGGGCTGGGCAGGAGCTAAAGTCAAACCTGGCAGATGATCTGGGATGTCACAAGGAAGAGAGAATGTCACCCCTAGAGAGAAAGGAGCCATGTGGGGAAGCACAGCAAGAAGCCACCAGTGCCATTAGTGGTCCATCAGACAGCATCTGCCATCATTTTGGTGTTGGCAGAGGTGGCAGTGAGGATACAGGAGTCAACAAAGGTGTGGAGGAATCTCTCCAGACCACCCTCAAACAGGTCACTGCTTCCCTGGAAGTGGCTGGTAATCAGCTAACCTGCAAAATGTCACAAAGCACAGGAAGTAAATTGGATGAAATGACATCCAGCGACTTTTTGCCAGGTAACGGCCATGTAGCCATTGTTCCTAATGGCCTGCCTGAGAGCAAGCCCTCAGATGTCAGTGAGGAAAGAAGGACGCTGGATATTGGGAACAGAGAGGGTGCTGTGGTGTTCGTATCAGATCCTTCTGTGAGAGACAGGAAAACTGAGGTCCCTGAGTCCCTGGATCTTCAAAGCAGAAGCTCAGAAGTGGGGGAAAGCAAGGATACTACAACACCTGTGACTGAACCCAGGAACCTTCGAGAAAATGCAGCCAAGACTGATATTACTCCATCTAGAGCAGATTCCTTTCTCAATACCCCAGCTACCCTCCACCCAGAGATAACTGTGAACATGACCCACCAGCCCACACCACCCAGTAGCATTTTTCAGGAACCTGGTGTGTTCATTGTGGATACAGGGTCACCCTCACTGGTCCCACCCTCCACTGACAGTATGCAGCTGTTGAACACATCCCCAGAAGTGCCTGACAAGAACATCTTCCCCAGTGGGATCCCCAAGCCTTTTGTCACACATTCCAAGGGCACAACTTCCTTACAGGAAGGAATGGAGAAACATCAGGTTGAAAAAATGGAAGACAGAACAGACACAAAGCCCATCATTATGCCCAAGCCCAAGCACGTGAGGCCCAAGATCATCACCTACATCCGGAGGAATCCACAGGCCCTGGGCCCAGTGGATACTTCATTGGTTTCTGTGGGCCTTCCCTATGCCCCGCCCACATGTAGCATGCCCCTACCCCAGGAAGACAGGGTAGCAAGTGGCGACCTTAAGTCATCTGCCAACATCTATGAGAAATTCAAGCCGGACTTGCAGAAGCCCAGGGTCTTCAGTTCTGGATTGATGGTGTCTGGGATCAAGCCCCCAGGGCATCCTTTTAGTCAAATGAGTGAGAAGTTTTTACAGGAGGTAAGAACATGGGACTGCAAAAAGATCTATAAATTGGGTGTTTGTTTAGTGAATTGTGAAAACAAACTATCCTCTCTATGCAAATTGTAGATGTTAATGGATATGTTTATACTAAAGTGGGTGTTACTGACTGGAGGAGTTGTCTAGAGCAATGGGCATTTTGGACTACGTGGTCGTAATAGATTGACCACATCTAAGGAAATCCATTTATTTTTTATTATTATTTTTTGTTAAATTCTTTTATTGGTACATTGTAGGTATACAACACAATTACATTTCTCATTG